ATTTATTATCGGATCTGCATAGTTCTTATATCATTCGCCATTTTTTTTAATTATGGGATATGTTTCCGCCCAAAACAGTCTTAATATGGAGCTGCATCCTTCTTAAAGCAAACTTCTCAATTGTTCTTTCAAATTCTCCATGATTCCGACTTGACCTCTTTCCGCACTATGTAACGGACTTTCCATTAGAAGGTGTTTTATTGTTCGAGGAGTCTTACAACGGTTTTACAACTTACTTCGAATGGGATCTCGTGTCATCAGATCTTCATACGCAAGGCCACTATAACCAAGCCACAATAGCGTGATAATTGCCTGAGAAAAACTATTCTTGAAACTATCAGATTATACATAGCCAACAAAAAAAAATTGTCTTGCTGCCGAAATGAAATCAACCGATTTTGGTTAGTTCATCTGTGCTAATTCCAAAAACACCAACGTTTTCTTTGTATCAGTTCTGGTTTTCGAGATATAAATAATGATGATAATATAATTATCAAATAGTGGAATTGATTGAATTGAAGCAACCAATTCCATATCAGCTTGAGCAGATACCCATTTTAATATTTAACAGTTTACCTACGTTACCAGAGGATAATGTCAAAACGTTATCTGACGAAATACAGACTAATAGCGATCTTATCAGAGATATAAACCTTCCAGAGGATCCTCCCGAGTTACTTGCCTCCAGACTGGAAAACCTAAGAATACTGAGAAGAATCTTCTTCACCCAGAAACCAAAATTGCATACTATCTTCACAGAGAAAAAGATCTTTTACCTTTTTTTCCTCAGCACGATGATCTGGTTTTTTGTAACAATATTAAAGGACTGTTGAAAAAAATTGTGTATCGGAATATACACCAGATCACTGGCGTCTTTTTATTAACAGTTCCAAACAAGAGTGTGTCTTTCTATATAATGGCAATAAATATGGAAATATACCAATTGGCCCTTCTACAAAAATGAAAGAAGAATATAAAACAATATCTCTAATGCTAAAAAATATCAAGTATGAGCAACATTAGTGGGCGATCTCTGTTGATTTGAAGATGGTGAACTTTCTCCTAGGACAACAAGGTTGCTATACAAAATATCCTTGTTTCACGTGTCTTTGAGCTAGCAGCGCTAAAGACCAATGCTGGAGTGGAAGAAAATGACGTTCTAAAGATTGTTTACTTCAAGGACAAGCTAACATAAATAACAGCTAACTACAGCTGACTAGCTAACAAATAATATTACCTCTGTTACATATTAAACTAGGGCTGATGAAACAATTTGTAGAGGCCCTAGACCAGAATCGCCCTTGTTTTGAATACTTTTTCAGCAAATTTCCTGCACTTAGTAAAGAAATATTGAAAGCAGGAATATTTGATGGGAATCAAATCCGTTAACTTATAAAAGATTCACATTTTACAAAATCGATGGCTAAAATGGAATGTAATGCACGGTGCTCTTTTGTGAAAGTTATGAAAAATTTTCTTGGAAAAAATAAATCGGAAAATTACCGGGATATAGTGGAAGAAATGCTTAACAGTTTTAACCAACATGGTTGTCATATGGGTATTAAAATTCATTACATCCATAGTCACTTAAAATCGTTTCTCAGAAAATCTTTCGAGGAACAAGAGGCTCGCTTCCACCAAAATATCAAAACGATGGACGAGAGGTATCAGGGAGATGGGACAATCACATGATGGCGGATTACTGCTGGAGTCTTCAAAGAGACTTTTTAAAGTCTTGCAAGAAAATCTGATAAAAGAAAGTTTTTTGTTGACGCCGAATAACAGAATTGTGCTGCAATGCAGGCTAAGTTACATGAAAAGTTTTTTTGGCAGATACGTGTGATAATTTTTGTAAGTATATTGTTGTAAAATAAATAACTAACTTTTAATTCGTCTTTTGTTTATTTGATGGATAGCAGCACTACATGTATGTAGGTAGTACCTTGTAGTAGTAGTACCGACATATATGTAGGTAGTGCTGCGTTAAACGATCTGATGGAGCAAATTTGGTGGCACTTTTTGGATTTAACAGATCCAAATTACCTAGAAATAAAAAAAATTACCTGCAGCAAACTGTGTGTTTACTAGTTAAGGTTGAAATGTTGGTTTTATCTTAAAAATTTCACCTGTTTTTTTGTGCCATCTGCTACTACATACGACAACTTTTTAATTGTAGAAATATGATTTGAGATCTGTCGCTGGAGTTTTTTGATATATTGCTCAATTGTAGCATCTTCTATGGATTCTTCTACATATTTATCTGTATATATTCTGTATATGCAGATACGGTCATTTCTTGCGATTTCATTATGAGATGGCACCCAAAAAAGTAATGTTTCTGTGATTTAGGTTGTACAATTCTTATCTAGTGAGTTTGGCCACAGTATGGGACGAATATATTTTATGTATTACTACAGAATAATGCATGATTAACGGACGTTAGCGATATTAGGGCTCGAATCCAGGCTTGTACCGATGCTCATTGTGAACATACACGACATTATTAGTTTTTAATTTTTTATTTATTAAAAAAAACATTATCTCCACCTTTATACCATTTTTTATAAATGATCTATACTAGTAGTTTCTGAAATTAGTTATGTTAGCAACAATTTTGGGTAACTTAATATTGTTCTGAAGCTATTTTCTTGTGGCATTTTAAATTAATTACTATTTAACTGGGAATAAGCCACAATTAAAGATAAAAATACGTTTGTTGATGTTTGAATTTCCACTTCGGAAATCGTTCTCAAAATACAAACAGTAAATTGTTTGTATTTTGAGAACGATTTCCGAAGTGGAAAATTGAAACGTCAATAAACGTATTTTTATCTTTAATTGTGGCTTATTCCCAGTTAAATAGTAATTAATTTTGCGAAATGCATAGCTGTTTAAACTGTGTGTATTTATCAATACAGAATAGAACAGACTTGTTGTGAAAGGGACTATAAAGACAAACCAAGTTCTTTCAAATTGTACTGCTGAACGAGACTTATTTTGTTCTGGTATTATTGATTATAGGGCAATCAGTGATTGTTTTTCGACTACCAATTTCTCGAAAACCGCGTATCATTCTTTCCCAAGAAAACATCCCTAACTTTAATTGTATCGCAGCGAATTGTGGAAAATAACATAATAAATGATAGACAAGCTCAAGCACAGATATTCGGTAATACTAGCTGGCTATTATTTAGGTGGAGATACATACAATGCGGAAACGTATTATATTGATTTCTAAGGGATGAATTTAGTATACGTACGTTGGTGGCTTTGATACGAGCCCTTACCTCTGCAGCGACCGAATATATTATTAATTTTAGATCGAAACGTGAACGAGTTTCCATTCAAGTGGTAACTATTATAGCTAATTATGTGAATACAATGGGGTATCATTTAAGGTGTAGATTTATACAGAGTATTCAACAACTCATTTGTTGATTAACCCTTAAATTCCTGAATTTTAATTTGATTATGAAGTTTAATTTTTTTAATTTCGATATATATGGAAGAAGGTTTCAAAACAAAATTCATACATTTTTTTCTTAATTATTTTTGATTTCTTAGAAAATTGCCGAAAAGGAAATGACATTTTCTTACAGTAAGGAAGTCCTGACTTTTTCTTCAGGAAATTTTGACAGGAATGTCAAAATTTCCTGGCGATTTGCGGAAAAATGTATTTTTTAGCATATTCATTAAAGAGCGAATTTTCCAGGCTTTGTCGTTTTTATCTGGTTTACTGTTGTCAGCAAAATGCAAAAACTGCATCACTTGTTCGAACCTATTTTTCTCAATGAATTTTTGACGAGATTATTGCCCACGTCATGTTTTGAGTCCCAGTAGTGCTTTTTAGCTGGCTTGTGGTTCTATTCACTTAAAATTAGAATAGCAAGAGTACACTTTACCTTTTCTCTAGTGATATTTGGATCTTGGGATTATCCACATTACGAACCTTTATCAGACAATGATAGTAATGATATGGAAAACGTGTCAAGTACTAGTTCAGGTGTGGAAACAAATTTATTAAATAAACAATTAACAGATACAGAAATTAAACAAAAAAGAGGTCGAAGGAAGAAATGGCGTGCGCATTTGTTTGGAGAACTTAAAAAATAACTTTATCACAACCTTTGGCATAGTGAATATTTAAAGCAAAAAGAGTTTCTTATTGAAACAACAGAAAGTATACCAAGGAGAAGATTGCGAACAAAGCGTTCAATGAAAGAAAGAACAGATACAAAAATTTGCTATTTAAATAATGATTTGCAAAAATGCAGTATATCAATGCGAAAGCAGCTGATAGGATGAAATATCAGCAGTAAAAATCATTTATGTGTTGTACCTTTAATTTGCAATCAGTGTTACAAATACCTTCGAGTGACGTACATACCGAATGAGATGCTGCGCAGTCGAAAAGACCTGTTTGGTAAAGAAAAATTCATTTTTCAGGATGATAATACTTCTTACCATAGAACAAAATTGTTAAAGCTTGGATGGAGAGTAATGAAATTGATAGAATGAACTGGCCATCTCAATCTCCGGACCTTAGTTCCATCGAGAATTTGTGACAAAGGATATCAAACATCATTTCCAAAAGCAAACCCACAAATAAAACGAAATTAATCGAATCTCTAATCCACGCTTGGCATCACTGTATTTCCATGGAGGAATTGCAAAAATTAATAAATCCCATATTAAAAACAAGGGCTGACCAATTAAATATTAAAATTAGTTAAAATTACTTCATTGTGATGTACAATATCGTCTTGATGTAAATAGCCCAATTTTTGTAATATTGAATAAAAAATTTTCCGAACTACATTTTTTTTATTAATCAAAATTTTTGCTGTGTTTCCATTTTATAATATTATGTTTAAGTCCTTGTTTGATGTAGATAGTAAATGGTTAAAAAATATATGTATAAAAAAAGTTGTATATTTTTCATTTTTCTAACGACTTTTTATAAATCAGAAAGGCATTTATTCAAATTGTATACCTCTTACCTGAGAATCGTCCTGGGAAAAAATAGCATCGAAGGCGAACATCTTGGGAGCCGCCACCCCCACCCGCCTGTCCTCGGGGGCGGCGGAGCCATTACAAATGGAAGGATCCGTAAGAGTAACTTGCTTTTTTCGCTTATCTATGCTGAAAAAGCCGTTGTAGCTGCCACCGTCCACACCTGGACCCGGAGGCGTCGGGTTGGAGACCCTCAGCATCACTTTTACCTGCAATAAAATGACAAATGTTAGAGTTTAATTTTATTTCCGGGTCTGCAGGAAGGTAAAAGGGTCTGCGAAGGAATAAATTATCCGTTTTCGGGAAGTTTTGTCATAAGCAAAACGTATTTAGGCCAAATTTAACATTCTAACAAAATATTTCCGTTTTTAATGACCAAATTTTTCTGATTCTATGTTCATATTTTGATATTAACACTCTTATACACTAAATATAGTTGGATTATCAGCTGATCATTGTAAAAAAGTATTGTTAGCTCTTTTCTGGTGGTATCTTAAATTCTGATTTTGATGAAATTATTTTTAGTTTGAATTTAGTGTATAACAATTTATATGAGAAACAAATAAATATACATTTAAATAAATTTAATATTCTTTTAGAAGCAAATGTTTATTATTAACGAAAATAATGATGTGAAAACATGCTTTAGGAATTTAGTAGCCTTAACTGAACCAAAAAATCAACCTGAAAATAGAGTATATATATATATATATATATATATATATATATATATATATATATATATATATATATATATATATATATCCAAACGCCACCGTATTCTGTCTTGAGTTAGGTCTTCGTCCAGATTTCAAGCGCTAATCGCTTTCCTAACTCCCAGGTTCCAGCTCTGTGGTGGTCTTCCTCTTTCCTCTTATCTGGGGGTTGCCACATTATCTTTTTTTAGGCAATCTTTCGTCCTCCATTCGTCTCACATTCCCATACCATATGAGCTGTTTTCTCTCAATATCCTCAACTATAGTGCCCTCTATACCCATTTGTTGTTTTATCACTTCATTCTGTATTCTGTCGGCTGTTGATATTATCATGGATCTTCTAATGGCATCCATTTCCAAAATAGAGTCTTTGAGATGTGATAATGCTGGGGATAATAGTTCTAAAAACTTTAAAGATTTTGTACTAATAAAGCAATAACTATACAATATTTTGTACCCAGAAATCCAGAGCAGAACGGATAAGAGGAAAAATACAATCGTACTATTTTAGATAAACCTAGATGTTTAATTGTGGACAGTGGTATTGACAAGGCATTTTTGGAGAGAAGCTGTATTGGCTGCTGTGTACTTGACAAATCGAACTTCTACAAGTACATTGCCTAATGACTGTATACCAGCTGAAGTTTGCTATGGTTATAAACCTGATGAGCAAAATTAAATTATTTGGATGTTTAGTTGGATTTGATAAAACTTGTGAAAGTAAATCTCCAGTTCATGTGACAAGACATAGAGGTGTGGATAAGCAAACTATTACTAAACCTGTTGAAGGTTTATAATACTTGGCTTATAATACCCCTACAAATGATAAGACCGCCCTGTAAACTCAACATAAAGCACATTTAGCAGCAAAAGACAGAGCTTGAGATAAAAAAGATCACGAAAACAGATGGCAGAAAACTTTGACCTTTAACAAGTTCTTATTGTACCCAGTGATCCTACCAATAATGCATTATTTTATAACTTAATGTGGACAGAAGTTAAAGGTAAGTAAACGTGGCAGCTGTGAGATTGCTAGTTGTCTTTACAGCTTCTTCAAATCTTTACCTAATTCTGTTGAACGAATTTCGTGTTTCAGTAACATTTGGGGGGGAGGGGGGATAAAACCTTAATAAGTTTGTGGCTGGCTTGTGTTTAACATCTGTACAAGAGATTCCACATGTGAATAATATAGATCTCATGTTCTTAACGGTGGGACATAGCGAAATGGAGTGCGACTCTATGCACTCAGCAATTTCTACGAAACTAAAAAGGATTGGTAAATCAAACTGGCCTTAAGACTGCAAAACTATTGCTAGGTGCGCTAGACGAAAGGGTAATAAACCATATATAAAACATGACTTAACACAGGAGCAAATAATTAACTGGGAAACTTATGCAGAACAAAATATGATTTTTAGAAAGGAAGATGAGAATCGTCAACCAGTACGTTGAGTTAGAGCTACTTCACTAAATTCTCTGAGACCCTTGTATCAATCTAAAACACCAATTCGGTTAAAAAAGTATAATGATCTTACATCACTCTTTCACATGAATCTTCCGGCACTTTCATATGAATATAGACATTACTACGAAAACCTTCCTTTTGTGGGGGATACATGAGGAAAACCTAACGCAAATTCCGAAAGTAAAATAAGCAATAGTGAGTAACTTGTGTTTTCTATAATTATTATATTATTATGTTTATAAATTTGATTGAAATCAAATTGACCATGTACTAATAGAGAGAGAAGACCGAAAATGTATAAAGAACGTGCGAACATACAGAGGATCAGACTCGGATCACTTCATGTTAGGAATTAAAATGGCTCAACTGATACCAGAAGAAAAAAATCGCAAAAGAAAAAATAAGAACACAAATAAACCAGTGCGGCTTGTAACGCAAGAAGAACAAGAAATGTATAGAAAAGGTATCGATAGAAAATTAAATGAAATACACCTAGAAGGACATACAGACAAGGACTGGGACAAAATTTAGCAGATTATCAGTAACACAGCTAAAGAATGCAATAAAAATATAACTAAAAAGAAAAAGGATTGGTTTGACGAAGAATGCCAGAAGGAAATTGAAGAAAGAAGTAAACTAAGGATGGATATGATCAAAAGTGATACGGAAGAAACAAGAAACAGATATGAAAAACAAAGAAAATTCGTAAAAAAAGTTTTGAGAATGAAAAAGAAAAAGTACATGGAAAATCAGCTGAAAGAAATAGGAGAAAATTACAAAAATCGAGAAATTAGAAATTTATATCAGGGAGTAAAAAATGAAAAAAGAGGATACCAACAGAAAACAATATTTTACAAAGATAAAGAGGGAAAGGCCATAAGTGGAGAAAATGAAATAGCCGCTAGATGGAAAGAATACTTTGATGAATTGCTAAATGACGAAAACAGGATAGAACAGCCACAGCCTATAAGAACGGAGAAACATAGGAACCAAAGGAGGGAAAACGCTAGAGGAGCAAATATTCAAATTAATAAAGGAGATTTGGATTAAAGAACAACTACCGCAAGAATGGACAGATGCAATTATATGTCCACTTTATAAGAAAGGCGATAGGACAGATTGTCAAAATTACAGGGGGATATCACTATTGAATACTGCATACAAAATTCTTGCAGCGTGTATAAAGGTCAAATTGGCAGGAGTGATAGAAAACATTGTCGGCGAGTACCAATGTGGCTTCAGACCTGGTAGAAGTACAACAGATCAGATATTTACGCTCAGAGAATTGCAAGCGGAAAGTTACCAACACAATCTGCCGACAAGGGTCCTCTTCATTGATTTCAAACAAGCGTACGATAGAATAAAACGGAACCAAATGAGCAAAGCACTAGAAGAATTGGGTATCAGTAGAAAACTTATAAGAATGATACAAATAACGTTGTCCAAGACTGAGAGCAGAGTTAAAATAAATAATATAATGTCGGAAAAATTTGAAGGAGTAAGGCAAGGAGATCCCCTATCATCGATACTATTCAGCTTGTGTTTGGAGAAGGTCATACGAGATGCAAATGTCAACAGAGAGGGATTGTTATATGGAAGCTACAAGAAGTAGTAAAGAGGCTAGATAGAGAGGCAAAGAAAATAGGCTTAGCATCAACGAAAGTAAGACAAAATACATGGAATGGATAGATGACAGTGAACAAAAAGGAGGAAATCTAAAAATAGAAGTAGAGGGTGATAAAGCATATATATTTGAAGCAGTGGAAAGATTTACATACCTGGGGTCGATGTTCGCATGCAAACCAAATATTAGAGAGGAGCTCCAAGACAAGAATAATGGCAGGAAACCGATGCGTGTACTCATTAAACAGGCTATTAAAAAGTAAACAGATATCTGGGAATGCCAAAATAAGGATTTACAAAACAGTTATACAACCAGTGGTAACCTACGCCAGTGAAGTGTGGACACTGAACAAAGGCGAAACAGGTATGCTTGAAATATATATATATATATATATATATATATATATATATATATATTGTTATGCTATTTAAATTGTATTCTATTGCTTATTTAGAAAAGATCCTGTCTATATTTATTAAATGATCTAATCTCCAATTAATCACAATAAATCAGCATTAATTAATTACAATCTCAGGCTATTTAACTTGTACTATTTACCTTTGATCGTGGATTCAAAATATTTTCCAATTGGCTTCCTAATTCGGATAGGTAATATGACCTGAATAAAATACACAGAATTTCAACTGAACTATATGTGAGATGTCCTTTATTTTAATGAAATTTTATATGTATAACAATCAATTCTGTAATATTTGCAATATAATACTTTAAATATATGAGAAGTTGTTTTCTATCATGGACCCAAATGTTATTTTACATTGATTTTTAATATGTGTTATAACTAAGCTCTCTTTATAAGTTTTTTCTTTAAATGATCGCAAAATTAACTGTCTCTATTATTTATTCAATTTATTTAATTAATAAATGAAAACCACACTCCTGCTCTAATGAAAATTGACTGACCTTTCGTTATCTGCCGTTGCAATTCTATGGCCACGCCATGGAAAAAAAACCTTTCTCTGCTTCTGCTCGTATTGTGGTCCAGAAGACGTACACCTTTCTCCTATCTGTCCTTGTATCTGCAACCCAACAACTCGTGTAATTCTAAGCAGCCTCCTTTTGAACCAATCTCCGCGCCTGTTTATAACTTCAAATGTTTCCGGCTTCGTCTGATATTAATATTCTTATACCCTTTGGTTTTTCTATCTCTCTGTACCCCGTTCCTCACACTGATCAGCTTTTACACAGCAAATAAACACACCCGGTAAATTACGTCTTCGGGACTTCAAACAAACACAAACCACAAAGCTCCTTCCTTCTTGGGCGACGAAAACTGACTAACTCCTTTCCTCTCTCCTATCTCATAGCCAAAACCACTCCCTCCTTGCATTCAAAAATTGACCAATAAAAATCATCCACCTCTGTGACGTATATCGTTACCAACCAACTCTCTCTATAAAACGTCATTCGGGTAATTCCAGAAAACAACATTCTTTAATTATTCTAACTAAATCTATCTGCTTTACAAATATTTCTTACTAATAGCTACAGACGATACCTGTTTCTCAATTCAATGTCTTTTGTTAATAAACTTTTACCGATATAATCTTTCGGGGAGAAAAACCACCGCAAATCCCGGTCTATTGTTTAAACACTGTCTACATACACTTTTATTCTGGGTAAATCCATTTCACAATAACCGACTTATTTAAATTTCTTATCGATAATATTTGAAAGTCTTGTCTCTGAGGCCTAATGAACAATTCTTCGAACAACTTAAAATACATATTTTGTCTTATACAGGGTGTTTGAAAATTTATATGCCCGTGTCTTTATGAAATATCAATAATTTTAATTTTTATTTAAGTAATAAAATTTGTATATCGGTTTTTTATTGCTAATGGACATTCAAAAGTACAACAATATATATATATATATACATATATATATATATATATATATATATTATATATATATATATATATATATATATATATATATAATAGGCGTTTGGCTTTCGAGTTTTGAAAGCATCATCAGTTCATCTAAAAAATTATTACAATATGAGAACCACACAATCATGGAAACGATGTTAATTGTTACCTTAAAAAGATAGAAAAGGTAACAATTAACATCGTTTCCATGATTGTGTGGTTCTCATATTGTAATAATTTTTTAGATGAACTGATGATGCTTTCAAAACTCGAAAGCGAAACGTCTTCAAAATAGATAAAGTAGCCTATCAACTTTGTCTTTTATTTCTCCACCTAGAGACCGATATAAGAACCCACCACTCGTCTGAGTGATCCTTATATATATATTGGATTGACGGTCGTACTCCTTTTTCCGATATATATATATATATATATATATATATATATATATATATATATTATATATATATATATATATATATATATATATATATATATATATATATATATATATATATATATATATATATATATATGTTTATAAATATATCTTGTACTACTTTGAACTAATAAAAACTTATTTTTATTCATATTATACACTAATATTTATTAACGTATTAGAACCATATATGTCGATTTTTGTTTATTTGTCTTGGTGCTACAAGTGGATATCTCGCATTTTATCAAATTTATTTTAAAAAATTATAATTTTTTGTTGTTACCAATAAAAAGATTTTAGCTCATTTAATATACTATCATTTTAGAACCAAAAACACACATTATTTTGAGATTTTTTTTCTGCTCAAAATTTTAAATTGATATCCTGAGAAACGACTATTTTCAAGTTACCTAGTTCAGGGTACCATAGTATTCAGGGGACGATATATACAGCTATAAGTAAATAAATTCAGGATAGTAATATTTTACTTGTATTATTTCTGACCCAGTTCATAAACACGCTATAAATCTAAAATAAAACGTTACCTTAGGGCCCATTCCAACACGCATCATCATAATTAACTAATTCTCACTTGTCATCACAACGGTTCACATATCGTCGACTATAAACCTATTAAGATACCGCTAGAACACAATAAAATCGAGAACACCGACACCAGAGGAGATCCATCTACTTACTAATGCACCTGGCACACTGAGTCGGACATTTTTTGACAAAATTCCCAGCATTATGCATATATGAACATTTTAAACTGATTTACATTCAAAACACGTGAAAGCGGGACTCGTTTTGGGCCATTAAAATTGATTAAAGACTTCTAAGTCATCGGCATAGCTTCGACGCCGTCGTATATTTGGCATTTTTGGCCATCGTAAATAAGAAGAGACGAATTTCAATACGAAGGGGACCGGATGAGTTATGTAGGACTGTAAAACGAAATATATATATATATATATATATATATTATATATATATATATATATATATATATATATATTGAAATGATTTCAATATGTTAAAAAATATACAACTTAAATGGATTTTTATATGAGTTTTTTGTTTATGAATTTCATGAAGCCATCACAATGTGGGTTCGACTCTGAAATAAAAGAGAGAAAAAGATTAGTAAATTGTTAAATAAATTAATTTTGACTTACCTGGTATAGTGTTAATAATTTCTGAATAGTATAGTTGCCTAGTGTATAGGTGAATCGTCTAAACCTTAAAAAGAACAAAAAAGAAGAATTTTAAAAAATATTTAAATATAGAAATTTTAATAAACGTCAGAAAATAAACTGCTTGACAGTTTATTTGACAGTCTGTGGGAGCTAAATTAATAGAGGTTTTGTTAAATAAGAAATTACAATGATGTGGAGATGAAAAGAATAAATTAGTATTGTAATAGAATAAGTTTTATATCTAAACATTTTTTTTTATAAATTCCCAAATTAGATGTGATTAAAGTTATTATGAGAAAGTAATGTGGCTTGACAAATATGTCAAACAGGACAGTTTTATGGTTTAAAATATTTAAATAGAAGACAAAAAAAAAGAACGTTGGTTGCGGTTAGCAACGGAGGAATTTTGGAGAGGAGCCCCGAAAACTGTGGATAGTCCGAGAGTGTTTTCAAATCGTTTATTCAAAATATAGTTTTTCCACAGCAGAGATACTCAGAATTTGTTTAAGTGAGTAAGAGAACCATTTGACTTATAAATTATTATTGAAGTATAGAAATGTCATTTAAATTGAGAAAATTAAAATTCATGAATTAACATAATTGCGATAGGCCTTAAAAATTGAAAATATTAATGATCATTAAATTAAAAATAGAATAGTACGTACCTTAACTTCCGAAGAGAGGATTGATATTCCATTTTTCACCGATTATTTTTGAGTAGTTAGTTTCCTTTAAAGAAATCAGAACTGTTTTAAAGTGCGGTTGGACAATAATTTTGGGGATCATTTGAAATTTTGATTATATTTGAGTGCAAGTCAGCGGAGTAAAGTGTTCATTTTCCTTTTCTTTATAGTTCATTTAAACACTTTATAAAGTTGCAATATTTATTTAGTTTTTAGGTACTTGTAGAGAGTCTCCACATTTTGTAATACATTTTTATTGTCACGTCACTAAACCACGTTAAGACTTAAACGATTCCTATTTTTGTAAATTTTTAAAGGCAACCGAAGTTGCAGACGAATTTTATTGTTTATATTAAATTTGTTCAATATTAATAAATAACGTGCTTCATTTGGGTTAATTTATCAAAAGTCTAATGTAAATTTTGGTTTAATTTCTTTTTGAACTCTACCAGGAGACTACAGAGTCGACGTCACACAGTGACAGATTGCTTAGAACATATAATTGAGCTAGCTGAGGTATATATTAAATTAAACAACGAACCACATATTTTAAAAATTACATTTATTATAAATAAAAAATAAAATTAATAAAATACAACTTTATTAATATATATATATATATATATATATATATATATATATATATATATATATATATATATATTGAAATTATTTCAATATGTTAAAATATATACAACTTTAATGGATTTTTATATGAGTTTGTTGTTTATGAATTTCATGAAGCCATCACAATGTGGGTTCGACTCTGAAATAAAAGAGAGAACAAGATTAGTAAATTGTTAAATAAATTAATTTTGACTTACCTGGTATAGTGTTAATAATTTCTGAATAGTATAGTTGCCTAGTGTATAGGTGAATCGTCTAAACCTTAAAAAGAACAAAAAAAGAAGAATTTTAAAAAAATATTTAAACATAGAAATTTTAATAAACGTCAGAAAATAAACTGCTTGACAGTTTATTTGACAGTCTGTGGGAGCTAAATTAATAGGGGTTTTGTTAAATAAGAAATTACAATGATGTGGAGATGAAAAGAATAAATTAGTATTGTAATAGAATAAGTTTTATATCTAAACATTTTTTTTTTTTGTAAATTCCCAAATTATATGTGATTAAAGTGATTATGAGAAAGTAATGTGGCTTGACAAATATGTCAAACAGGATAGTTTTATGGTTTAAAATATTTAAATAGAAGACAGAAAAAAAAAAGAACGTTGGTTGCTGTTAGCAACGGATAATAAGAGGAATTGGTTTTTGGAGAGGACGCCGACGAGGTTTTTTTGGACGAAGGAGAGCCCTGAAACTGTGGAATAGGTCGGGAGTGTTTTTTAACTCGTCTAATTAGAATTTAGTTTTTCCACAGTTTCCACAGCAGAGATATCCAGAAATTTGTTCCAGAGAGTAAGAGAAACAATTTCACTTATAAATTATATTGGAGTATAAAAATGTCATTTAAATTGAGAAAATTAAAATTCATGAATTAACATAATTGCGATAGGCCTTATAAATTGAAATTATTAATGATCATTAAATTAAAAATAGAATAGTACGTACCTTAACTTCCGAAGAGAGGATTGATATTCCAGTTTCACCGATTATTTTTGAGTAGTTAGTTTCCTTTAAAGAAATCAGAACTGTTTTAAAGTGAGGTTGGACAATAATTTTGGGGATCATTTGAAATTTTGATTATATTTGAATAGTCAGCGGAATAAAGTGTTCATTTTCTTTTTCTTTATAGTTCATTTAAACACTTTATAAAGTTGCAATATTTATTTAGTTTTTAGGTACTTGTAGAGAGTCTCCACATTTTGTAATACATTTTTATTGTCACGTCACTAAACCACGTTAAGACTTAAACGATTCCTATTTTTGTAAATTTTTAAAGGCAACCGAAGTTGCAGACGAATTTTATTGTTTATATTAAATTTGTTCAATATTAATAAATAACGTGCTTCATTTGGGTTAATTTATCAAAGGTCTAAAGTAAATTTTGGTTTAATTTCTTTTTGAACTCTACCAGGAGACTACAGAGTCGACGTCACACAGTGACAGATTGCTTAGAACATATAATTGAGCTAGCTGAGGTATATATTAAATTAAACAACGAACCACATATTTTAAAAATTACATTTATTATAAATAAAATTAATAAAATACAACTTTATCAATATATATGTTTTGTTTGTGTATGAGCAATGAGTGTTCTAAAATAACATATATAAGTATAGGGTTTTTGTCGCGGTTCTCAAAGAATTAGTTTGTAAGTACTTTTTTAAATTATCTTTATTATAATTATTATGAAACACACATAGATATCTAATATAGACAATATAAATTTAGAACAACCTATCTTAAAATTAAAATTCTTACAATAATTAAATTATATTAACAAAATTTGGTACCTTTCTGTCACTGAATGCCTAAATGAAACTGTTTTCCAAAATAAAAGGTTTGATCACTACTCAATATCTTCGTTGTCAGCCTCAGTTATCCTTGCTTTTGTGAAATTGCTTTTTCCCAATACACCACAATGTTTTAATTATCAGCTTCCACCAATTTAAAATATTTTTCTTCTTAATAGCATTTATAAATGGGCAAAATATTCTTCTTTCTTTATTATTATTCTTTTTAATAATCATATTTTGTTTTCAATCTCCAATCACCATATACATAATTTAATTTTTAATCGCCACTAATACTCTCTTACTCTTTTTTAATCTCTACATAATATACTTTCTAATACTTTGAATCACTGTTTACTGCATACTGTACTGTATAATTAATACTCTAATACTGACCACTGTATACTATCTGCTTGTACTATTCGACTCACTGAATGATTGACTGCTTAATGAATGCACTGTCTAACTGGAACTATCCTTTATTCTACAAACCATCGAGTATTTATATTATTTCAGCGTTCAAGAATGTTCGGGAAAGAAATCATGTCCAAATTGTTCTATTTCCTAGATATATGAATGTTCTCGAATAGTCTACCTCGCAAATAGGGTTAACTTCCTTATATTGACGTCTTATTTAAATTCTCTAGAGAATTCTTAACTTTCTAAACTAAACTAAACATCTTAAATTAATATATAACCCTATTTTACAGCCGTAATTATTCAACTGTCACTTATTCAGTGTATCATTAAACTGACTGCTGAAGAGACAAACCATTATGCTTAAAAAAAATTATAAATGCAACATTCAGCAACTTCAAAGGAAATAAGACATGTGTTGTAACTGTAAGTGTATTTTTTTGTGTGTCTAACTAAATTAATAAACCTTCCAAAGTTCATATTTATTCTTATTGCTAATTTCTTGTTTTGAATATAGATATATATATATATATATATATATATATATATATATATATATATATATATATATATTGAGATAACAATAAATATAGAAGAAATTAGGAAGGGATATATCGCTATGAAAAGCCACCTCATTTACGTGTAATTACGCCATTACGCCACATTAATTTGACAAACTTTTAAAGCTACCAGCATTAGGTTGAATTAATGGCCCTGTACCTTCAAGAGCTGGCAATGGAGATCAAGCTCTTTTGATCCGCAATATATCATCACTACTATAAATGCCATCGTCAGTCTCAAAGGAATCAATAAATTCGAATAATTGTTCCTCAGAAAATTCTTTCAAATTTATTTTGTTCTTATGGTTATGATTTAGAGATTTAGATGATGTGGTTACGACAGAAAATAGAAATAATAGAACAACAGAAAAATAAGCGTCTTCCAACGCACAAAAAGATAACAAAATTTCATACTGAAGGGGATATTTTTTATAGGTAAACCGGCAAGACCGTCGGCAAACATGAATTTC